CCCCAAAACCCCAAAACCCCAAAACCCCATTTTCCAACCCTAAGATTGAAATCGAGTTCTATAGTCTCAAAAATTCTTATATCTCTCCAAAAACCTCATCTTTCGCTAGATTTTCGATTTTCGCAATTCCTTCTTTCACACCTACAAAACATTACTATGCCAAATCTCACCTGCGGCGATATTGACTGATTTCCCAATATCAAAAATATTAATAAGGCACATGGCCAGTAATGGGCCGATACTTCTACAATTTTAGCATACAAGAGTTACTCTAACTTCTCAAGATCACAAACATCAACTTCAGCTTTGCTCAGAGAAGATGTCGGAGCCAACCCACTAGCTTTCTGAGGATAAGCAAAAGGAGTGCTAGCCTCCTTGTTTGTGGCAAACTGATGAGCCTAGAGATGAATAGTCAAACCAAACCTTCCCTCCATTCCTTTTGTTATGGAGCTGTATCACCCCGATTACTTCAGGGGTTCAAGGCTTCTTTGACTCGAAAGATGGCTTTAAAAGAGGCTATAACAGAAGTTAGATACAAAATAGCTGACTCTGATGAAACATGAGAGCCTCTAGGGTAACCTCCTCAGAGACTGAAGAACTCTCTAGAAATCTTCAAGTTGGAGAACTGAGGTTTAATCGCAAAATTTAAAGTATCTTACCATTATTAATAAATTTGAGAGGTCTTTGATGTTACTCACATTATCAATATCGCCCTCATACAGGTACGAATCTTGAACATCTGAGCTATCCTGTATTGTTAGAGAGAACCTTTACCTCTCGAGTTGGATTTTCAGCTACTGGGTCTGGAGACTTGCCTATAACTTGTCATTTAAATACTAAATATAACAGTGAAGATCAGAACCCTACATACCGCTAACGATATAATTTGTGAAATATGGAGTTTGTGAGGTATACACTCTTCCAGTGATACCCATTGTGCAAGGGAATCGTAATACACTTCCTGTCAAGATTGATGATGTGTCCTCTGGGTTATAAGGGATATGGTATAATTCGTATTCTTGACCATCCTCCTATTCTTGATTACACGAAATATCTAGTAAAGCTTACCTCTTCAGAGGACTTGTTATTGACAAGCAGCAATGAAGCTGACTCAAATCCAAGAAATTTTGGTAATATCTCATGAATTTTGTAACTAAAAATCTTTAAATTTCTTGCTGCACAAATCTCTGATGAGAACTTCATCAAGTTGACTAGGTCATTCTTTCACATTGCAGATTCATTCATGCTCTGGATGTTTAGAATAGCTCAATGGGAGATCATGACGAGAACCTTCAAGGTCGCAAAGTCAGTGCGTGATTCTCTCAAATGAGCTGTTTTCTCACTGAGACTGATTTGGTATCAACCTTGAATAGCCCCATTTGAATCCAAAATAGGGTATATCATCTTATTCTGAGTCACAACTCCGTTAGATAGTGAATTTATGTTAGTAATCAGAGGATCATTTGGCTTCCCACCGCTCAGACCAATGCTTTGATATACCTGTCTGTCAATAGATGCATAGCTGAAATATTCCGAGTTTTTCGGCGTTCTATTAATTATCCAAAAGGTTACCTCTCAATTGACCTATCAAAAGCTTGGTCCAAGATGTAAAAATCAGCTGCTTTTGTATCAAAAAAATTCGAAATTTCCTGAAGAGTTTCATGAATAACTTCGAAAACCTAGATATCAGAAAGGCAATTACAGTTTGGACCTTCATAATACTCTTGGCAAACTTCTCAATCTTGGCCAACTGGTTTGAGTTAAGAGTACTAAGGCCGGAGAACATCTTTCTGGAGCTCTCTTCAGCTAAATAATGGTAACTAGCACCCCTACCTGCTTCAGTATGCTTCATATCATAAATAGTGACTCTAGAAGGCTTCATGTCATTCCTGAGAGTAATCTTTGGCTTGCCCTGCCCAGACCGGTTCGAACTCTTATTAGTCATATTAGCCTTAGAAAGCTTGTGGCATGATAATGAAGACCTAATGCGTTGCTCTACTGTCTTGACCCTCTCTGGTGATCTCCCATCTGTATGAATTAACCCAATAAAAATACCTCTTGAATTCTGAAGTGAAGGAGCTATCTTTCTGTACATCCCAAGTTGTTTCTCATACTGGGTTTCCCTCTGTTCATATATCTGAACTTTCTGCTTCAAGAATTGGTTCTCTTGCTCAAGTTGGCTGATCTTACTCTGCATGTCCTTGATGACCAAGTCACTGTACAGCTTGAACTTCTTCGGATCTTTCTCTTTCCCTTGAGATTCTCTCATATCGAACAAGTCTCTAAAGATCATAGGAAACTGATCTTACCTATTAATCGAGTAATTCACACAGTAGCTGTTGAGGTTTCTAATATAACACCGCTTATGAGCTGTGTGTGAGATGCCACCATCTCTGTCCATGTTTAGACCTCTGGTTAGTAACTTCCTAGTTTCGCTCGTATCTGAGGGTTTTCCTCTTCGCCTCTTAAGTTTGTAGTCAGTGGAGTAACACCGCTTATGGTTCTATCCAGTGAGGAAAGAACTTACCTCTCCACTATTTTAAAGTCCTTGTAATATAATGAGGAGTTTGAAGGCTGTTGAAAATTGACCCTAGAAAACAATTTTCCAAAATTCTATAAGGACTTCATTCCTTAAAGAAAGATCCAAAAAATAATTCAAAAATTAGACAACAATACTTACTCCTTCTATTTTCTGAAGATGTGTTTTTGCTTGGTGTGCTTTTTCGATAAAAATTTAGTGCAAAGCCCAGTCACAAAATCTACTCCTAATTTGAAACTTACCTTTCATAAAAATTCAATGGATTCTTGTTAAACTTAATCTTGACCGTATTTCCAGCAATCTATTGCTCAAAAGGATGAGCTTCAGAAAAATGTGAAAAAAAATAGCATACAAAACCCAGTTGGAGAATGTCAGAATACCCAAAAGTCACCCATACAGTATTAATCATCCTTCTTGTCTTCTTAGCCGTGCTTGAAATGCCTAAATAAATATGCTTAAACACTGGGAATTAGGCTGGAATATAGATGCCCATAGCTCGATAATGTACAAAACTGAAGCTAATATTCCCCTACTACAATCCAGTTTGAATAATCTTCATAACTACCTTCTGACTTCATTTTATTTCAGTTTATTTTATAATTCCAATTTGTCTAACTCCAAAGGGGTTTTGGGGTTTTGGGGTTTTGGGG